ATTTGAATATATTTTATTTTATTGGTAACATTTTGCAAGAAAAATTTTAAAAGAAAGCATGTAATGAAAAATACAATCCTTTAAGTGAAAGGCTGCTTAATAGTACATTTCGAGGCCAAATTCATAATGACTGAATTTTTACAGGAAAGTGATATACACTGTGAAAGGCTTTGTCGACAAGAACAGAGATGCACAGCAGGATGTGTTTTTCGAATTGATGAACAACACGGAACAAATTGTCGCTGATCTCATAAGATTCCAGGTTTGTGATGAAGTTCAATCATATCTTAACAAAACTTTATAATTTTTTTGAACCGAGATATGCAAAACAGCAATCAATCAAACAAACAGACAGATAGTTTTCCATGCAAACTCGCTGTACAGCATAAAGGTATATATTTACAGGATCTCCTTGGCTGCACCATTGCCAGAATGGGTACCATACATAGCACAATCTCCAGAGGAACCTCAAAGGAAAGCCAACAGTGCTGATGCTTTCCGCAATCAACTTCAGGCTTGTTGATGTTCGCAGTCAACTAATCCATGGTAAGGATACTTCTTTATCCTGTGATGTAAAGAGAGAACATCAGACCTCATTGAAAGGAGAAATACTGTGTTGTAAGTCTTTGTAAATTGGTGGCAGTTTAATCAGAATTAACAATACCTTGAATGAGTATTTGATTGACATAGATATGGAATTCCTGCAGGACCTGGCTCTCAATTGGCAGAATTATCAAGAAGTTGGAATTGCAGTAGAAAACCTTGATTCAATAAGTTCTAGAAAGAGCTCAGGTTGATAAGCAAGCAACATGGAGTTAACATTTAAATTTAAGAAAAAAAAAAAAAGAATTTCAAAGCATCTTTTCTAAGGATGTTATCCTAAATACGTTGGAAATATCTAGTTGTGCATTCATCCATTTTTATTATTATTATTTTTTTTTAGGTGAGATTGATTGACTAAAGCATTTTACAGAAAAGTTTGAAATGACTTCTGAAAGAGAGCCCCATCTTTTCTCCTCAGGTATGTCAGGTGCATTAAACCGAACAAAAGCAAATCTGCTGACTCCTACGATGAATTGATGGTGCTTGACCAGCTGCGGTATTTGGGCATGAATGATATCATCAGGATCCGCAAGGAAGGATCCCTATCCATATGACCTTCACAGATTTCATCACAAGATACTTTTGCCTAAATAAGAAGCGCAGACATCCGACACCAAAGATCATGTGTGGTGGGTAATTTGCTTGCTAATTTACTAATTTGGAGCAGATAGTTAGACAACAAAAATCGGGAATAATTTTTCCCAGTTTTCTAGACGTAGATGCAGGTTAAAATACATTATACTTTTCATTCTAGTGACATCATGAAAGGTCAGAATCTGCCACCAAGGGAGTGGCAAGTTGGCAAGAGCAAAGTATTCATCCGGCAGAAAGTATATGAGCCCCTAGAAGACCAGCGTCTCACACAATACGCGATGCAGCAGTCAAAATCCAGGCTGCATACCGCATGCATAAGCGCAGAATGGGTTAGTTAATGATCTTAATCTCATGCTCTCAAAAATTGTTATCTTTCTTTGTTTATAGACTATCCCATTCTCTTGGCAATGACTGATGCAGCTTTTCAATTTTACAGAATATAACAGGATACGAGCAGCATGTATAAATATCCAAAATCGCTACCGTGGTTGGAAGCTAAGACTTGTATTCCTGAGAAAGAGGCGGGCGGCAGTAATTATTCAGTCTATGTCCGAGGAATGTTTGCCAGAGAGGTAATGTGAAGAAAAATTTTATTGAAGAGATTACTCATAGGCATCTACAGGCAAAAATCACAAAAAAAAGGGCTTCAAAATTGTGACAAAGAAATAATCAGAAACAAGGAATTGGTATTGTTTGTCGATAAAAAATAACTTACTATTTTTTAAAGGTTGCAAATGCCCTTCGGGAAATGAAGCGAATCGAGGAGGAACAACGAAGACGAGAGAAGCTGGAGGAGGAGAGACGGCAGAGGAAGAGGAAGCTCTCAAGTTGGCAGAAGACGAGGAAAAGAGGAAGGAGCTGGAGGAAGCTCAGAGGTATGGAGTAGTGATCACGTGCTGGAATAGGAAAGCTTTTAGAATAATAGTTCAGAGGGATCAATGTAGGCTTCATGTTTTTTTTATTTTTCCTTATTTTTCATCGTGATGTGTATGAGTGATTAAATCATTAGGAATTTTGAGTCTAACACATAGTGTGATTATAGATTCTAATACATTTTTAGTATTGAATTACTAGTATTTCAGCTAAAGATTATAATTGCCAAAATAAATTTCTTATTTCTGCATACTTTAACCACAGTGTTAGCTTTATTAATGATATTAACACCTAATATTTTGATTGTAATTATAGGGAAATTCAGACATATGCAATAAAATCTAAGGTTATCATTTTTTTTTCTGTGAAGATAATATCTCAGTACCTGTTTTGCATGTCTTCTGGAATCTTTATTTAAAGGTTGATTCACCTCCTTCTTTTTGTTTATGGGAGAAATGCTGAGCTAAATCTGTGATGCTGAAGTATTATGCTTTCATAATCTTTCTTCTGATTCTTGGTTCTAATGCTTGCTTCTTTGTGGGGAGAGAGAGAGAGAGGAATAAAAGGAATGGACAGTGTACACATACTCATAAAAATACATTGAAAATGCATATTACACTCGCTTGCAGATACAGATACACACACACCCATACACATACATATGCACACACACACACACACACATATATGCATACACATATACACACACACACATGTCACACACATGCACACACACATGCACACACATGCACACACATGCACACACACACACACACACACACACACACACACACACACACACACACACACACACACACACACCACACACAACACACACACACAACACACTGTACACCTACTAATAAACAAACTGATATGTATAAAAGTGATTAAAGATTTGAAAGAATTTTGCTTGAATATTTCGTGGGGGAAAAGTATCCATGATCTACACATCTCGTCTCTAGTTGATAATGCATCTTTTGTTCTATATTTGATTCATGGTCTGTTCATTTATATCTTCCATTCTCAGATATAAGTGAATAGTTGTTCAAAGTGCTTATATATTTATACATTTTATGTAGTCTAGCAACTTTTGCTTTCATTTTGCTTGATGTGCTCTTGCTTCTCTTTCAGCAAACAGTATGATGGCTAGCAGCTGTAGGGAAGGAGTATGCATCGGTTCCTTGAAATCTTCTCGCTGTAAGTGAGGCTCTCTAGTGTTACGAAAAGGAAGATCGATAGTGTCACTTTGTCTTACGATGAGTGATTGCTATAAGGGTTTCAGCCGTCGAATACTTGCTGTGGAAAAGGCTGTTGAATATAGTAATGAAATGAATCTTGTTTTGAAAGAGTTATTGCATAATTAATCAGCAAAATAACTTGTTAATAGAATTGTTGATTATGTTTGGCATCATGAAGCAAAATAATTACTTTATTCTTTTATGTTTGAAAACACTAGAGTGCTTTTGGTGTAAACTTTGAAGTATGTATGAAAGTCTTTGGTTTTTACTATCTGTGATTCATGCCTGTTTTGGGGATTCCATTATACTTTTTCTGAATTTTATATTGAAATGTGACTCATTTGCATGCTGGATTTTTCTGGTGCTGGAATTCTTGTATGATTTTTTTTTAAGACAGTTACTGTTTGAAATTTAAGTGATGCAGATATTTGAGAATAAGAATCACCTGCATGCACACACAAGGAGATACGTACATGTATACACTCACAATTGCACACACACACACACACTGTTCGTGCACTTGAAATCTATCAAAAGATAGATTTCAATATGTACCAAATCACTAGAAGGAAATAATTATCTTTTCTACTTCTGTAGCTTTAGTGTATAACAGAAAGAATGTACCTAGGAAATGCAAATTTTAACATCTAATTTAATAATTCCAGGAAAGTCGAGGAGGAGATGGCAACACTCTCCAACATGGCTGAGACAGTCAACACGCGGCTGGCCACTTCCGGCCCAACCAACCCAGACGATGCATCTCAGGGCTCGGGCGAAGGGGTTGATCTCGACAACCTGTTCTCCTTCTTATCGAATATGGAATCCGAGAGACACGTCCTTGATGAAATATCTCGACAGATGGAAGAACTTGCCGACAATGTAGAAAGGAGGTTAGTTTTCAAGTTTGAAGAAATTGTGCATCCTTTTTTATATGACTTGCAAGATATGATATAATGAAATCCTGATATTAATTACTTTTTCTTTCTGCGAAATTCTAGTTACTTCTTATCCTTCAAATTGGATTTCTGATGATGAATTGGCCAAATGAAAGATGATTCATGTAGAACTATTTCTTATATAATTTTTTTTTGTATACTTTAATCCATTGTTTATATTTTGAGGTGCATCCCATGCAATATTTCTTTATCTTAATTATTCCCTCACACAGATTGAAGCTCTTAACCGCGGCGAAGGGGAAGGACAGGAATCCCCTTTGCCTCCACCACCCCCACCTCACGCACCAATTCCCTTCCTCCTCCTCCACTGCCTCAAGACCTCGTTTCTCCACCACAAGTTGCAGAACAAACGCCACCTCCTCCGCCAGCCTTGTCCGCTCCCCACACCCGTCCCAGGAACAGCAGAGCAGAAGGCTAATAGAGAGAGTGGGGATAGCCTGCCACCCCCACCTCCGCCACAGGTATCAGTTATACAAGTTATGATTTAGTTTTGATGTATTCTGACATTAAGGTTATTGCAATTTCTATTGTGTATGAATGAAAATAGCATTCTTTTTATTCACTATGTATGTATGTTGTATTTAGATTTTTCAGCATCTCATTAGAATGATTTTAGGCTGGTTTAGAAAGCATAGAAAAAATTCTGTTTGTATGAGTTTAAGAGTAACTTACAGCTCATTGTGATGTATCTATATGTTTGTTTGTTATTTTTCCACTCTTTTATCAACTCTTTGATTTCAGATGAATGGATTCCATGAAGATGAGAAACCAAAGGAGCCAATATATGAAACTATTCCTGTTGGCCTAGCAGGGTCACAGGGTCGAAGGGAACCAAACTATGTATCAGGTCCACCACCTGCAGGTATCTATCCTGACATCTGTTTAGATATGTGAACAAATGCCTAAAGGCACATGCAGATGCACTCAAACACACAGTTATACACACGTAAACACACACACACACTCCACACTCACACCACAACACACACACACACACACATATATATGTTCACCATATGTTTATTTGTTGGTGTGCAAGTCTAGCATTGTATAATATGTCAGCATTGTAGGGATCTGTAATCTGAAAAAAGGCACCAACCAATAAAACTTTTCCATCCATTTCCAGGCCCTCCACCTGCTCCTCCAGAGGAAGAGGTTGAGTTAAGAAGACCTCGAGAGCAATCTCTAGAACGTCGTCGAAGACCTTCGGGCCAGAAGCGACCATCGAGATCCCCTTCTGCTCGAAGCCCATCACGGGTGTCACGATCTGGTACAAGAAGTCCTGTGGTAAGTTGAAATGTTGTAATGCGCTGTGATTCCCATTGGTTTACAGTTTGTTATTTAGTCAAGAATAAAGTAGATGAGTTGGATGTGATGCACTTGATGTTTTAAGATGTCAGTAGTCATAAGGAACATGTACATTACTAAAGCTTGAAGGTCAAAGACAGTATGAATAATTTTCTAATAATTACTTCAATTGTTTTGGTAATGTTTATGAAGATTAATATGGTTAAGAAGTTGACATGCATTGGTTTGATATTGATTGTTGTACTGTATTATAGCAGCGGGTGAGCAGTCGCAACAATGGTGTGGTCGAAGACCCAGACAGAGTTGAACGTCGCAAGCAGAGGGTTGAGCGTAAGCTTCACGAATTGGAGGAGCTTGAGGAGAACAAAGAGAATGAAAGCCAGAATCATTTTGATATGATTGAGTTTGCAGAAAAGTATTTCAATAATCATGAACGCTCGCCTGAGGGTAAGTACCAATTTGATTGTTTTTCATTAATAGTGTTGCACAGTATCAGTAAGTTAATTCTATGATTGGAGTGTTCAATAGTTTTTCACTCTTGGTCCCAGTGCATTGCTATAGACAGTTGAATGATATTATAACACTTCGACAAGACATTAGCCATGTATTACCCAAGTGTCATTAGCCTTTAGCCAATAGTATTCTCCCAATTAACTTTTCTCATTTCCTGCACCACAGGCACCATCATGTCTACACTGACCCGCAAACGCTCCACAGCAGAGTTCCTTCCCAAGTATGAGCTGATCACGTATTCTCGCTCCTCCATCATCCCTACCTCTCATGTCCACCTTTATGACCCAGAAAACATCAACCTTGCTTGCACAATCTTTAGGGTCTGTATTCACCTTTTTCCAGTATTGTAGATATTGTTGTATCATGTTTTAGCATTGCAAATTCCTGATCGGTTTTATTTGTATGCATTTTAGAGTATTCTTGTTTCAGAGATGATATAAAAGATATGCCGTTTGAATATCTTTTTATTGATGATGATTCATGAACTCAAAATACCCTTCATTTTGTTCATAACTGATGATGAGTGAATTCAGATTGTGATGAAGTTATCCCTTCTTAACTCAGGGACATGAGTCATTTGCCACAACATGAAAAAAATGATTTTAAACTTAACAGGACTTGTGCAAATACTGCCGAGGAGAATTAAAACCCGAGCAAGAGATAACGACTATCCAGAACATTATCACTCATGGCCTGGAGCGGGAGGAGCTTCGCAACGAAATCTACGTCCAGTGCATGAGGCAGGTCACCAATAACCCGAGCACGGAATCACTGGAACGGCTTTGGCTAATGCTGTGTTTGTGTGTTGTGGCTTTCCAACCAGGAAAACTTCTTCATAAGGTACGAATAGATTGTGTATTAATGCCTCGTCCATAAAGAGAATTTTGTTCAGATTGTGTGTTCTAGAAGTTCTCATGATTTGCGATTTGCCATTTTTAAATGTGGTAATAGCCATTATTATTATTATTATTATTAATTATTATTATTATTATTATTATATGTTCTTTGCTATTTCTCATGTTTTCCAGTCATGACAATTATTTACATTATTGTAGGTATTATTTATAAAAAAAAATTCTGGAATACTGTTGTAAATATCTTGTTTAAGATCTATATTTTCTTTTTATGTCATATATAGTATTATCAAAGCTTTTATTATTATTATTATTATTATTATTATTATTATTATTATTATTATTATTGCCATTATTGTTATTGTTATTACTATAATTATTATTATTATTATTATTATTATTATCATCATTATTATCATCATCATCATTATCGTTATCCTTTATAGAGTTAGTCATATATTATAATGCATATGTTGAATGGAAGATGAATTAGATAAAATGCTATTCTGTGGACATTCCCTAAAACACTTTTTTTCCCATAACAGTATTTTGTAAGCTTCCTTCAAAAGAGCCTCAGCCTTGATGGAAAGCTGCGGCAATATGTGCAGTGGTGCCTCGAAAACTGTAAAAATACGAAGGTCAGTTGCAGAAGACTACCTCCTTCCTCTGTGGAGATTGCAGCCATGAAGAAACTTGGAACCATTGTTTGCAGGTTAGTTTGCTCACTCGCTGATGTTGCATTTGCACTGAAAGGACATTTAGAACTTTTTAATCATACCACAAATTGTTGATTGTATGTTTTTTTTTTATTTTATATATACATTTTTAATTTAAATTTTTGTGTGCAGATTCTTCTTCCTGGACGGCCGCACAAAGGCTATTGATGTCCATCCAAGGGACACTGCTGGTGACGCCATGCAGAAGCTGGCAGACAGACTTGGACTGGCGAATTTAGAGGCTGGGCGATATATGAATCTGGTCTGGATGGAGACAAGCACGTAAAGATCCATGAGTATCTTTATGATGTGATATCATCTTGGGAGACGTGAGTGGCTTTGGCTTTGTGTTCTTGGGGGATGGAATTTGTCATCATTTCTTTTTCATGAGATCTTTTCTATGGAATTTATAGTAAAAGAGATATCTGACTAAAAGAAGAAAAATCCAGTAAGGAATTGTGGAATATGTCTGTTCATAAAGAGATATATATTTATCAAAAGTTATTCAGAGAGAAAATGAAAGGCATATTTTCATTTTGAAAAAGAGTTGATCGGGTAGTTAGTACCATGAATCATGCCTTTGAATCCTCTGGCAGTATCTTTTGAATAGCTACTCAAGCATTATATGTGACATAAACAATGATGGATTTCATTAATTCCCTTTCAGGAAACAACAAAAGGTCGGGAGTTCAAGCAACTATGGAACTCTCAATAAACGCTCTTCACAAACGGTCAGTTCTGGGGAGAACAGATTTGTTTTCCGCAAACGTCTCTTCCGCTCTCCTCGGGAAATTCCAAGCGACCCAGTGCAAGTGAACCTGTTATATGCTCAGGCAGTATATAGTGTAGTAAGAGTAAGTATAAGTTTAACAGTTTGTGTAATGGCTGAGAACACTTCAGTTCCTATTATATTTCAGTTTAAGTGGTACTGATTTATGAGACATGCTGCAGAGTGGATGATAGGGAAAGAAAGAAGTTAGTGTCACCCTTTGAAATATTATAAGTCAGTCTTGGAATAAGTTCTGTAATGGAAATAGTTTCTCTAGTATGGTTCCAGAAAATTAGTACCAACAGATGGTTTGGTAAAGAACTTTGAAAATGATGTTTTTTTTCCAGTCTCTTATTTTTCCTTATTTGAATGCTAGTCTTAGCCATCAGTCTATAGAGTTAAATTTGACTAAAACATTATAAACAAGGTTAATTTAATTAGTCCTTTTCTAACTTAATATTCTTTTAGAACTAAAAAACTTTTTTCACAATATATGTGCTAATGCTTTATCCCCATTTATTGCACACAGGCTGATGACTTCCCAATCAATGAGAAAGTAGCTCTCCAGTTGGCTGGGCTACAGGCTCAGGTGGCACTCGGTGACCCAAAGGATGGCAAGACTGAATTTTATGCTGATATTCAGTCCTATCTCCCAGCCCGCATAGCTCAAGGAAGGAAGCAGGCTGAGTGGGTGAGTGCTTGGATGCCTCTTTTGTATTCAGAGGTACAATTACCAGGAACTAGTTAGAAGGGTATATGACATACCATTTAACATTTTGTCGGTAGAGAAGAGATAAATTTAATGAGTAAAATGGTTTTGAAATAAGAATGTTTCTTGACAGAAGAAACCAAGTTAAACATTGACAGACTAAGACATCAGTTTTTATCTCCCCTCAGATACCAGTGCTTGGACAGGCACACAGGCAGTATGGCACTGGAAAACAGACATCGTAGCTAAAGTGTGGTATCTGACATGTGTCATGCAGTTCCCTCTCTACGGGACCACGATGTTCCAAGTCTCATATAGAGGATATTGGTCATACGGGAACACACTTATCCTGGGAGTCAACTGTGATGGCATTGCTATGATTAAGCCAGATGACAAATTCATCCTTTATGAGTATAGATATTGTGACATAGAATCAATCTTTTTAGACCCAAGGTAAGTTAGTCATTTCTTTTAAGCTATTGTTTATTATTCACATAACCAACTCTAGACCAGATGGATGTGATTTAGAGGCACTAAATCCTATTGTTTCATATTTCATGTTAAATCCTATTGTTTCATATTTCATGTTATCCATAACAGGTATTTGTAGGATATTGTACTGTATCCTCCCTAACATGTAGTTTGGTTTATGAAACTAAATCTCATACACATATACACAGCTCATTATCTCAATCTCTATTTTCAGTGACAACTTCATCACTATAAACCTCTTAAGAACTCTGCCAGATGCACATAAATGCTTTGTTTTTGAGACCAAAGAAAAGGAAGAAATAGGCTTCCTTATAGCTAGTTATTCTCCGCTTCTCGCATCTTGGATAAAAGACATGGACTCCAATAAGAAGGTAAGTGTTTGTTGCTTGTTATATATTGATGTTCTTTTTGAGATATTCATTTTGTTAATGAAGTATATGAATGGCTGAGATTTTACTTTCAAAATATACCATACGAAAAGGAAATCATAGTTGAAATTATTTTAACACATCCTTACACTTGACAGGTGAAGCAGATTACGGGTGAAGATCGAATACGGTTGTATTACAACCTGGTGCATGCACGTCGGCAAATCATTGATGCCAACATCCTCAGGAAACCTCAGGAGCAGGGTGGGAACTTCTTTGTCAGTACGCTGAGGAGGTCAGTGCAAATATGGTGGTCTTAATTTAGCCTTTCTTTGTCTCTGTTTCCTGAGGATATAAGATATTTGGAGAGTTTATATCATGCAATTGTACACGATGGCATTTTAGATCCTGGTCTTACATGTCTGTTTTGTGGTCAGGTCTCACAGTATTATCCTTAATTTATTTTTTTATGTGAATATCATCAGATTGAACAAGCAGAAGCTAGAGAAGCTGCGCCAGGATTATGGGGAGAATTCAGAGACATATAAGGGCTTCCACCACATGTTCTGGGCATTCTCCAAGACTCCTTTGACTCAGACTCTCACAAAGATTGCTACGCCTGAGGTTGAACAGCAAGCACTCCAGATCTCTCTTGCCATCCTTACCTATGCGGGTCTTAATCCTAATGGTAAGTATGATTCACATGTGTCAGAATTGAACCTTTGGATAATTTTGTTGGTGCAGTGAAAGTGAAGAGTCAGATTTTGTTTGATCTCTTTCCTTATCAGTCTTTTTGTATTTTAAGTATGTGGGGTAAATGCATCATCTCATGAAATACATATTTTGAATCAGAAGTAAAGAAAAAAAAATTATCTACACCAATCTGTTTGCAGCTGAAGCAGCAGTTACAAGTGATGACCAGCAACTGACAATGGTTCAGGGCGTGGTGGAGCAGTGTATGAAGCGAGACCTCCTGCTTAACGAGACGTATCTCCAGCTCATCAAACAAACGACAGATCATCCAGGTAAGAAGAGGACACATGATAAAGATTCTGTTAGGCACCTCCAGTCTCTTTAGAATATTGTGAAAAACAATAGACATTTTATTTGGAAGTTGTAATAATAAGTCTTCACTTTGCCTACATCATGCATCTTGCAGGACTTTGGTGTGATGTTGCAGGATATGTGATAGCCCAGACTCCATGATTATCAATTATTAGCTATAATGCCAGTATTTCGGTTGCCATAGATAACCCTTCTATACAGATTATATTGATATTTCCCAACAGATCCAAATTCGCGGGTAAACTTACGGCATTGGTCCTTGCTGACATTGTTCTGCTCCGTCATTCCCCCAACTGACAAGTGTGTTAGAAAATACCTCCGTGCACATCTACAGCGTTGTGCCACAGACTATGTGTCAGAAGAGGGAAAGTATGCTCGCTATGCTGAGAAGGTAAGTCTGTGTAGTTCTGGAAGTATGTGTAGCACCAAGACCCGTATATCCCTCTTATTTACTTGTTATTAGAATTTGAAGTTTGATAAGTATGAGTATATTTATTTATTTATTTATTTATTTGTAATCAGCTTTGACATTAAGTGATAGGCATAAATATACCACTCTGATATGGAGAGCAAAAGTGATTAGTATGCTATTTGGACATGACTGTCTTCAAACCATAATTATATTCCTGTTCTAATTATCACAGTAGTAATTTTAGTAATTTTGTGTGTATATTTATATATACTTTGAATTGATATACAACAACATTAAAGATTCAGGCATGTTTTGTAATTAAATCATATTTGGACAGTATTAAAAGACTTAAACACATTTGATGTTTAAGAAAATGAATGTTACATAGTATCTGTTTGTAGTTGGTATATAGAACAGTGTGTTTTTCAATTGGAAATTAAACACTAGGTTTTGACAGGAATGAATTAACAGTGTTCTCTTTGCACTCCTCCCTCCTCCAGTGTCTTGTTAAAGCTCTGAACAATCGCGTCGGCAGTGGGCTCCCTCAAAACAGGAGATCTTATGTACAATAAATCGCAGACCAATATATGCTCGCTTCCATTTCATGGATGGACAGTTCCATTCATTGGAGTTTGATGCATCAGCAACAACAGCAGATGTTGTTGATCTAATCAAACACAAGATTGGACTCAAAGAAACCACCAAAGGTACTTTAAAAGATATTTGTATGTATGTAGTGCAAGTATTCCAACTGATTTTAGTTTTGAGTAAATGGTCACTCACTATGTAAGTGGGTTTCATATTCTTTGATATCATGCCGCTTATTCATCATTTGTGAAATGTATATTTCCTTCTCAGAAACTCAGTTTAGGAGTAAGCATGTACTGTGAAGATTTTGATACATTTATAAGGATAATTACTCTTTGCATTGAGTGTTCCGTTACAGATATATGCATGTGCAAAGACCATATAGGGGCAAATATACACTCATGTACTTTTATACACCTACACACACAGTTATATGAACCTCCTTATAACTTTTTAAAAGAAATATTGTTTGGTTAGCTGGCCATGGGTCAGTTTCATCATTACATGTGTTAATGTGTGTGTGTGTGTGTGTGTGTACAGAAAAAGAGAAAGAAAGGGAAAGAAAATTCAGAATGTAATATATATAGCTACATAATGATATGAATGTCCTTTTATTCCTTTTACAGGTTATGCCATTTATGAGATGTTGGGGACGACAGAAAGGTGCATACTGATGGAAGAGGTCTTGGCGGATGTAATGTCCCGGTGGGAGCGATACAGGCAGTCTACTGCAGCCACTCAGCACCACAACCATCACATATTCCTGTTTAAGGTAATTAGAACATCTAACTATTTGAGTTTATTTGTGTGTGTGTGTGTGAATATAAAAAATATATGTTTGCTCTATATTTTCTTAATGACCATGTACTAATAAGTATATCTTTTCTTCAGAAACACCTCCTTCTTGAGCAGTGGATAGACCTGAGTGACAATGTGGAGAAAGAACTCCTGTACTTCCAAGTCCTCTATACACTTCGTGCTGATAAATTCCCTGTCACGCAGATGGAGGCGTGAGTATTTGGACAGAATAACATCTGCTGTAATATATTGCCATCACATATTTCACACACTCTTGCCTGTGTTGTTAAAGCTCAAAAGTTATTTGACTCATCTTATTGAAAATGATAGAGTTGTTGTGATAGGAAGTGGTACACTTTGTAATCTTTGATAACTCTCTCCTTTGACAGGTGATGCTGTGTTCCTTGAGAGCCCAATAGAACTAGGAAACTTTACAGCAAACATGGACTACGGCGAAGTGATAGCTCACACACTCTCCCCGCGTTTGCTGACTAGTGTGACCCACGAGTCTGTGGCAATGCACCACCAGAGCCTCTTCAACATGGATTCACAGGAAGCAAAACAAGCCTTCCTTAACCTTATCAAGTCATGGCCACTGCATAGAGCTTACAATATTTGATGTTACAGTGAGTTTAAGATAGATTGTAGCTGCTTGAGATATTTATTTGATATAGGATTTTAGTGCCACATCTGTATTCTTTTATACTATGTAATTGTAGTGGTTGTTTTGATACTTAAAAAAGAAAGCATAGGGAAATGATATATTTTTGAGATTAGAATTCACAGAACACAGTATAGTGTATGATGATTTAAGCCACTGCATTCTAAAGAAGTTTTCTTTTTCTGCAGCAATCATTTACTTCCAACTGGCCAAAGGTCCTGTGCTTGCCATTGATGAGAATGGAGTCCATCTCCTTGAGCATCGATCCAGGAACGTGTTGTGCACATATGAGTATGACTACATATTGAATTACTCAGCCTCCATTACTGCGCTCATGATCATTACAGGATCTACAAGGAAGCAAAGCAAAATAATCCTTAATACAACTCAGGTTACTGTCTGTTTTATTTTATTTGAATTATATCTCTCTCTGTCTGTGAATATATTTTATATATATTTGTAAGTGTGTAAATGACTATGTAGATAGATATATATACATATGCACATGTATGAATGTGAATATAAAGATATATGGATGTAAATGATCTTCTATTCTAATGTCAGCTTTTTATATTGGCAGGCTTTCATGATTGCAACCTTAATCAAAGACTACACTGAAGTTCTGAGAGAAAGCATGGGCGGCGCACCCCCAGAGCCCCCTCCTCATGCGGGCATTCTGGCACAGCCTGTGATGGAGGAAGAACAGTTCTTCACCAGCAGCAACAGCCAGCAGCAACCGCAACAGCAACCCAGACGGCATCAGCCCTCCCAGCATCATGGCCAGGCCGCCTCCAACTCTCACAGAGGAGCTGGTCACTCAATGATGTGCTTCTCATTGCTAATGGTTTTAAAATATTTCTAGTTTTTGAGTGGGAACTTATCCTCCAGTATTTTTATGACGCTTGTAATACTCAGACATGTCAAGATATGTTCATGAATTGCCCCATCTATTTTGTCCCTGATGTTTGCTAGTTTCACTGTTGGATATTTCAGATATTTCCTATTCTTCTACAATCTGGGTTGTGGTCAAGTGTTTAGAGAAATTGTAAAGATTTTAGTAGTAATCTAAACAGGGAATTTAAAGTGCCAGAATAAAAAAGTATTTTTTAAAAGATTTTAATGATAAATGTTTGCATGGTTAAGTTTGGAATGAAACTGCAAGCAGTTTTTGTCCTGTAGAAGTTGAGATAACAATTTTAATCAAATGCCCAACAAGAAGATTTGGCTAAAATTTGTTTACAGTTTTAATAAAAAGTAGTATATTAATGACATAAGACTGGCCTCAAAGTTGTTTTCCCAGATAATTATACCTTTGTTGAAACATATGTGCAAAAGTTATACTTATTAGTAGGAACTTTGATTTCAGTTAGCAGTGAGTCCACGTGCTATCAACATATTACAAGAACCAAAAAAGTAACATTGATATTGTAGAAGCCTAAGAAATAATTCTGCTTGAAATATGTATATATAGGTGTATGAA